ATGGGGCTGCTTCCACCCAGTATCCCCTGTGGCACCAGGAGAGGCCAGCCTGTATCCGTGGGGGATGGAGCTTGGGATGGAGCTTGGTTGCGGGCCTCCACACTGTCTTGTCTTGTCCTACCATGCCATTACTGCTCCGGGGAACTGCAGGCAGTGTGTGTGTATGGGGTGGGGGGGCAAGGGGGGTCATGCATACGCATCAGAAGCTCAGACAGTGGGGTGGGACATCATGGAGACCCACGGCTAGGCTTCATCTCCTGCCCCCAAGCTGTTGAAGTGGCTGGCAGGTGCCGGCTCTTGGCATGGTGTGGGGTGGATCAGAGCATGCTACAGCTCCAGGTGGGCTTATGCTCCTGCTCCTGCTCTGTGTGCGTGTGTGCATGCACGTGCACATATGCGTGTGCGTGCAGCCCTCAACAGCTCACCAAAAAATGTTAAGTGGCTCTCCAGCCCAAGACCATTCTATTTGGGAATGGTCTTGCTTTGAGCAGGGGGTTGGACTAGATGACATCCATAGACCCTAATGTTCTATGATACTATGATTTTATGATCCATATCTCACCCAATGTAAGAACGTTTTCACTTCTTTAGTGAATGGTCTCATGTTACTCCTGCGTAGAAAATCTTTATGAATACAAGCCTCTTCCAGGGACAAGTCAACCTCCAGTGTCAGCTGAGTCTAATTCTCTAGTTAAAGATATTTCTAAGGAGTCAGCAGCATATTGATAACATGGCCAGAAACTCTGCTCTGTATTTCTAGCTCATTGTTGAATGGAGGATGCATAGATTCACATTAAAATGATTAGGCCATATTACTCAGCACTCTTGTGCTGAGTGGTTTCTGCCTTATTGTAGGGAATTGAGATCCAAATGACTTGGATAGAGCTGATTTAATTCAGGCACACAAGGAGTTTTAAATTGGGTCTATTTTGCATGGACTGCCTCAGGCAGACAGCAAGGGAATTTTTATCATGGTGTACTGTTAAATAGGTACTCTTGCCCCTTTCCACACATGTGGCTGGCTGCCTCTCCCTCAAGGGCTGGGGTTATTTCTGTGCTTTTGCATTTTGTCCAGGCTGTCACCTACAGGGATGCTTTACAATTCTGGGCATTACTCTATAGTAAGAATGTACAGCTTGATCAATAGCCATTGATTTATTAGGGTCCCTAATTGTCCCACAAAAATGGCTGTGAGAGGGTCATTGATAATGCAGTAAATGTCTTCTCTCATTAGAGCTGTCCAAAGCAAAACTGGGGAAAAATGGATATTTATACAAGTGACACACATGCTCCAGACAGAAGCGATTTGTATTGATTGGGAAAGGAAAAGCTGAAAAGAACCATACAATTGGAAAATTAGATATTGGATTTAACTAATTTAAAAAGTTAAAACCTAAGGACCTGCAGAGGCTTGAGTCTTTGAATGCAGATTTTTGGTATGGTGATAACAAACTTAATTTTAGGTTAGCCTGAAGTCCAATTCCTCAATTTACTTTAAAAAAAAACACAAAAGTGTATTTAAGTCAGGCAAAAGTTACCAAGCTAAGGGCTTTCTAGGGTGAAGCCACCTGCTTAGCTACGCAACTGGTGCAGCACAAGCAGCTTCAGTTGTACACTTCTCCCACGTTGTCCCCTTACCAACCAATTATGCCCCAGAAGGAACCCCTCCAGGGAAGGAGGGTAATCTTGGGAGCCCACCCCATCCACAGCATCTCAGCTGGGACGGTTCATAGTTAAAGCAGTGCTTGTAGAGTGGGACTGGGGCCACAGTCAAATCAGTTCAGCCATCCAGATACTTTTCACTGTGCTCATACTTTATATTCAGCCTTTGTATACCCTCTTCTACTTTCCAGTTCCAGTGGGTCTTAGATCTAGTCCTGAAGGTCTCAAGTTACAGTAATCATGGTGGCTACTAAGAAAGCTTTGTCACCTGCATGCACCTGGTATGTGCTGACTTGGAGCAAATTAGAGGATGATTTGCTTCCTGTTCCCTTAGCCAGCCAGAAGAGATCTACCAGCACCACCTGTGGACTGTTCTTCAGTTTTGGTAAACAGCAGCTTTCCAGCCAGAGGAGTTGCTTTCCTTGTGACCGTTCGAGGATGCAGTTCACTCTGTAGGTTCCTGCCCAGTGCATACGTTTTGTTGCTGACAGAATAAGCCCAATTAAAGCTAAACTCTGCAAACTTTCCCAAGGTGTCTCAAGTCCTTATTGTCATTATGCAAGTGCAGATATTGTCCTGGACAATACTTGGGGCACAGAATTAGTTATCTTGAAGCAGTGGGGAGGAGAACTAGAGATACTTAAAATGATAGGTTAAATTTGGAAACGGGCTGAAGGGAGTGGACAGTACTATGTTTCAGATCACAAAGACAAATGATCAGGACAGGGTTTTCATAAGGACACAGCACTGACCTACTAGTGGATACAATTCCTGTTGGCCTCCATGGGAAAGTGGATGTTTCTGGAAACCCAACCCTTAACTTGCCTTAGCCCCTTTAGGGAGGCAAAATGTCTTCCTTCAACTGTGCCACAGACTTCATACTGGGAGGGTGTTTACATGACTAGGGAAGGAGCCAGACACATAATGCAGCCTGTCAGCTTCCTGTGTGCACCTGTGCTATTGGTCATCACTGCCCTTGTCCTTCAAGCAAGCAAAAATGGTGGTGCGGGTGCTAAGGCACATGATTGACAGCCCAGAGATTGCAAGTTTGAGACCATAGCAGAAACACTCATGGTGCAGCCTGTTAGATGCCAATGAATTTTTGAATTCTGCTAAATACCTTGTCACATGAACACAAAAAAGGAAAGGAACCTATGCTACTTGGACAACACTGTGCCTTCTACTGCCTGCAGGCCCCTCTTGTCAGGCTGCCTATCTGTGACTTTCACACTGTTAAAGGACTACTGGGTCTTAGATAGAGGCTTAGTTTCCCTCTGAGGCACCGATGCACCATAAACTGTATTGATAGGCACCTTCACACCAGATTGTCAATGGCTTCAGCATGAACCCAATTAACCTCTGCACTACCTTTATGTAGAACAGCTAATCCCAAAGCTGATTGCCACAGTAATCGCAGCATCCTGTATGCCATAATCCATGCTTTGCAGAGAGCTGCGAGAGTAATTGCAAACACTGATACTGACCTGTAAGTTTATTTTTATACCTACTCTTCCATAACATTTAATTTTAAGGGAAGGTGTTTAAGTGACTGAGTAAATCGAACCCTTTAGCCTCTTTTGAGAGTACATTTCCAACCTCAGTGGCTAGAGTCAGAAGTATGTTATTTAAAACTGTCATTACAGTTCTTGAAGGGGCTCACTGGTCCTTATAGAAAGTGGTGGCTTTTCTTCTCCATGCAGGAAAATCGGTCATCTTCTGGAACATAGTCACCATTTTGATGGCAATAACAGTAATGCTGCTGCATAGTTACTTGTGGAATCTGGTAACATTTACATTGCAAACCTGGTTTTCAGATTGTCTGGGCTGGAAGAATTCACTCTGGGTTGAAATTTAGCTGGCCAAATTCTCATTTCGGAGGAAAGGAGATTTTCTCCATTTTAATCACGTGTATGTGAAAGAATGTTAAAAATGTTGGTAATTCTTGGAAAATATGTTGCAAACTGTTAAGCCAGAGCTAGAGAAGGATAGCTCTTTGGATATATTTCATAAAAGTATGAAGTGCAGTTATTCCATAGACTGTATTATGTGTCAGGGAATTGTTACCATGATACTTTGGGTAAACTGGATATGTGTAAGAAAAACCTCAAATGTTCTAACAAGAAGCATGCTTCAGTGGTTAAAGGGAGCAATTATTAGTCAAAACTCCTGGGTGTTATATGCAGCTGCAGCACTGAGTCAGGGAGTGAGCTCTCTCCCAGGAGTCTTATAGACCAATTTCTAGCAACAAAGAATGAAGAAGAGACAAACAAAAACCTGTGTTACACCTAAGCATAGTTATCTCTAACTAGTAGATAAATTATTCCAGATTTTCTGTGCGGGATTAATTGCTGCTTTTCAGACAGAAAGATACTATTGGTGCTTTCTGCAAAGCCAGTAAATTCAGGGATCTGAAGAGCATTCTGTGCTTGATGGAAAAAAAGGGTCTAGAAAGATGAGTAATATACTTCAAAGTGTCAGATCTCAAAATATGTTGAAACCATGCAAATATGTTGAAACCATTCAACCATGAAACCATGGTTGAAACCAAAATATGTTGAAACCAAAATACCATTGAAGTCACAAGAGAAAATGTATAACTGAAGATACGAATCATAGTTTATTTGGTGGCATTAATTGGTTTCATAGTGAACTAATTGGAGCACTGTGGTGTGCAGGCCATTGTTTCTCAACTAGTTATTGTCTTTCAGCTGGAATAAATACCCTTCTCTGCTGTTAGATTGTAAACTGTTTTCTTGTCTTTCAGTGAATATAGCTTTCATACATACTCAAGAAGCACATATTTAGGAGCTTCCAGGTTTGCGGAAGCCATCTTTTAAATAAAGTTGTATGTGTGCATGGAAATTAATCATAGGTAGACTATTTGCACCTGCAATGAACTGAGATGGTAATTTAATTCCTACTGTGCCTGGTCTGCACAGAATTTATGAATTGTTAACCTCAGATCAGATCTTGTGATCAGACCCACTCTTCACTCTTAACTTTTGTGACACCACAGAGTTTTCTTGGTGTTTCATACTGTTGAAATTCTAACAAGCAAAACCTGATATTGCTTTGTAACAAGAAAAGAATACTTAGGAAAACTTGCCCGTCACACTTCCTCAGTATAAAAAGATTTCAGCGAAAATTGCAGGAGCCAAGAAAATTGTTAATGCTCAGTGAGCAGAGAATGTTTGATGATAAATTCCTATTTGGTTCAAAGATTTGACCTTTTTGGATGAAAGTCGCATGCATTGTACAATTATACAGATGGATTCATGTGAGGGGACCCAGATATCCTCTGTCTCTGGTTGTTTACGCATCTATATTTTTAATCCCAGGCACTATCCACTACCTCTTTGAATAAAGCAGCCTACATGCATTCAATTCGATGGGCTGTTTGGAACCCTTTGCTGGACTCAGATTCCTCAGAAGTGATCTTACCACTGCATGGAAGCACCCTGCACAACCCTGCTCACGTGTTGGTTTACAAGACCCCTCCAACCAGCATGAGCTCAGAAGAGGTAAAGAGAGAACTTCCTTAAACTTACTTTGAGCAAAGGGGCATAAAAACCATACCACAGGCCTTGACTAGGCAGTTTTTTCTCATTTAAAAGATTTGGAGTCGAATTTTGTAAGCCAACCTAATGGCAAAATTTTGATGTGAACCAGTTACTGAGTAAACAGACATGGAGCAAAAGCAAGGAGAATGCAGCATAAAATATAAATTGTGCATTTATTTGGTCAGCTGTTGCTTAGCTTTCAATATTTTATCATTGGAGTGCATATTGTCGTATACTTTGAAAATATGATGATTATTTATTGCATTATTTATTGCATTGGTGCCTGGAGGCCCCTGGTTTTTGTGAGAGGCAATATCCACACAAATATCAGATGGCTGTTCTTTTTGCAAATAGCTGTAAGCTCTCACTTCAATAGTAATTGATCTTTAGAGAGGTAACAAGGAACCACCAGTTTTTGAATGAATTAGCAGGTTTTGGTGCTCAGTGATGCATAACAACCTTCCATCTCAAAGAACGAGGTTCACAGAATTATGTGCAAAATTCCATTATAATGCTAAGCTACATTGATTACACACTACAATAGACAGAACTGACTATCACTTTATAATGTGCTCTAATACAAATTGGGTCATTCACATTAATATGTGCTGCTTGGAGTAAAACTGTTCATCAGAATCTATACTCTATTTTAACAGTAAGTAGGCAGGAAGGAGAGTGTGAGTGCATGTCCTAAACTTTTTTAGCACAAATGCCCCATGTCTTAAATGTTAGAGACTGCAAGTGGTTGAGGAACAGTAAAAAAACCCCTTGCTCATACCGTCTTCACTCTCCCTTTTCAGCATCCACTTCTGCCATTGTGTGGGTAAGATGGATCTATAGTCTGACCCAGTAAATGCCATCTTTTATGTCCTTATGCTTTTTAATTTTTGGTTATTATCTTGCACATGAAACTTGGTATGTTTAGAGATTAGGGACCAGAGTCTGATCTTAGTTATAACATGAATGCTGTATGCTATGCTAAATGATGGGAAGTGTGTAGGTGAAATATAAATGGAGAAGTGACAAAAACAAAATAAAACCAGCCAACACCACGAGGACCTTGGGTGGGAAGGCCTGGTGTATAATTGGGAACAGCAGGAATTAGGTGTCTGTTGTTAGAATGATTAGACCCATGTGTTTGCATATTTCATTATTCACTGTGACATTCTGTCTTTGGAAGCAAAAGGATCAGTAAAAGAAAACAAAGTAACGAAAACCTCCTTTCCTCTTGTCTCTTGAACTAGAAGAGGCTTGGATGGTTCCTAAGAAGGATGCTTGATGGTTGTTGCATTCAGAAGGGGTATCTTTGAAAAGGAAGTTTTTAGATGAGGCATGTTTTTTTATCTTCTTTGAAGCCAAGAACGCAGCAGCAGCACAGCCTAGTTAGTGGGTTCACATTGGGCATGCACTGGCAGCATGTTTAGCTGGGATCCCAAGGGTTTCCTATCCATTCAACAAAGAGGAGGCTCCTATACTTTTTTGGTGACCACCACTCAAGGAAGCATGATGAAGATTGTGCTACAGATTTATTACTTGGATCCACAGAAAGCCCTGCCATATCCTTCCTTCTTTCTGCATTTATTCAAATGCATTTTCTAGGTCTCTTGCTAATGATGTTTGGGAGGGTGGGAAACCCAGCCACCCTCACCCCCATGCACAGAGGGCGCTGAAGGTGTTCTGGGTAAGGTGGTGCGCTGAAGTTTGCTGCTAGTTCATTTTGTGTGATATCCCTCCTGACCTGGTGAGCAGGTTCTGTTGGATAACAATGTATGTACTAGGATGTGTAATAATTATATGGCAATGATATATCATGCATTGTTTTTATATGGACACTGTTTTTCTTATAGTAACTCCCAATTGCAGACGTTCAGATTCCCAGTTGTGGTCATTAATCCATCCTATGCTACACTGAGACAAATATTACTGTGATTTTGGGAGCGTTAGTGTCATTCCTTAACCCTCTTGGCTTAAGGAAATTTCTTTAATAGAAAACTATAGTTTCTGTACTTTAAAGAACCTTCTATTGATAGTTTTACATACATGTGCCTTGACCTACACATTTGGTATTCTAACTTTGTTGGATGTGTGACAAGAACTGACTCTGTTTTCAGGGAAGAGGCATTAAGGCATTATACTATTATATACAATGCATTTTCTAAATGTGTTTGTTTCAGGTGAAGCAGGTTGAGTCTGGTACCATCCAGTTCTGTGTTTCCACTAACTCAGAGGAACATCTCGGTGCTTCCCCAAATACTTTAAGTCATGTCAGAGAAGAGCTTTTCTGCTCCAAGAAGCCATCCATACCATCTCTCCGTAAGTGTTTTCAGGACTGGTAACTTCCAAAATATGCAGCAGAACTTCTGGCTCTGTACTAGAGAGAAAAAAGTGCATCTCACATAGTACAATACTCATTGAGTTTATAAGCTACAGTACGGGCTTGATGCTTATGTTAATTTGCAATGGTTCATGGGATTGTCACTGCATATTCTGCTTTTTGACTTGCAAAGTCCAGCCATGATAGTATAAACACAGTAGTATTTTTCTTGAGATCCCTCAGTACAGTGTATGCATTAGTGGACTGCTTGAAGCTCTTGCTCAGCTCTTGCTTCAGGTATATGAAATAAAAAGAGAAATACTTTTTAGTTTGTGTGTAGCTGGCTTCTGGAATGGAGCTGGGCAGGAAACAGTTTTTCCATGCAAAAATTTCTCACGTCCTTCATTAGGATGGGAAGTTGAAATCTTCACAAACTGAAAATCAAAATTTCAAAATGTTTCATTTCAAATCAGACACTGATGGGGCTGGGACAGCAAATACCCCTGGGTCTGAAGCTGTTCTAGGTTATTCCCTGAAGGTGTTTCTTGCATGTACCCTTGCAGTGTCTAGGAGTGCCTACTGGACCAGGTCTAGCAGTGCCTACTGGACCAGGTAGTCCATTGGTCTTGTGCAGCATGACTTATTCCAGTGTTGTATCACCCCTGGGGAGTCTGTTGACTGAGCAGAAAAAAGGAGGGCTTTGGGAATCCTCCTAATCCTTCACTCTTGGGTCCGTCATGGTGAGGAGTACAAGGTCCATCTCTTAAGGCAGCAAGCAGAAGGTGGCAGGCCCATTGCTTTGTAGTGCACAGGACCTGAGCGAGTCACTTCCCCTCCCTCCTTCAGCTCCTCCAGGGTAAATCAAGGATTGTAGCCTTCCTCCTGAGACATTGGGAAGAAGGCAGTTATCTAACCTTCATAAATCTTAAAATGAAAGGGACAACCTACAATATCTTGCCAGGCACCTCTGCATAAGTTCACCGTCTGTCACGGGCAAACAGTCAACTGTTAATTGCATGCATGTAGTGTGAATATGGATGTTGCTGAGCTCTGGTGATGTGATTGAAAAGGCAGGATATTTCAACCCCCAGTAGCTTTCTACTTGTTTGGGTTTAGGACATGTAAGTGCTTGTGGCGTACCCTTCAAACCTCCTCCTGAAATGTATTATTCCCTAATGGTAGTGTTATTTATATTTTTACACTCAAAACCCTCCAGATAGTTTGACAAAGTAAGAATTGTTAAAATAGTTTGAATAAATAACCTCATTCCATTGCACTTTATAAAATGTGACAACAAAACTTATTTAATCAGCACATACCTATGATGCAAGTGTATTCTCTTCCAGGGTCTGTTTAAGAACAAACATGCATTTTAACAGGGCAGAAGGATGCTTGTGGAATTCAGGCCTCTGCAAACCTTCACCAACTACGGTGTTGAGTTTTGTTGTGTTTGTAAAACCAGGTCAGGTCTGCAAACCCTTTTATCCTGTTATGCAAGTTTGGGGTTTTTTCCTGAAGTAGGATTCAGTAAAAGATGCAAGGAAAGAAATCCAATGTTTTCCTAAATAAAGGGAAGTCTGCAGTGTGTGCATGGGGAACAGAAGTTAACTTGACAGCGGTCTTATATATGTTACTGTGTTTGGGTCCATGCATGCAGCACACAATGTACTGCATGGGCAGAATAGATATATTCAGCACTAGCCTGTTTGTTCCTTTTGAAGATAATGGTAACATTTCCACTGGCTTCAGTGGGAGTAGAGTGAGGGTAAATTGTGTGCTTTTGAACATCCCCTCCAGGTAATTCTCTCTCTATCCCCCTCCCCCACTGCTGGCTTTTCCCCTCAGCAAAAAGCAAACACAGAATACTAAAAAGTGAGCTAAACTTCAAACCCATAAGATGAGACTGGGCTAAAAATTAGGGTAAATGTCCATTTATACAGCATCTCTTAATTGGGAATAATTTGGTAATTTCACTGAGGAAGCTACTGAGAACAATTTTCCTTTTTTATTAGGAGTCAGTATTTTCTGCTGTTTTTAATAGTTTTGAATTTATCTATAGATGTGCAAACCAGATTGCTCTCAATTTACCTGCCTGTTTTAAACATCAATATGTGAGTTTATTACCTTATTAATGTAGTGGTGTTCCAGAAGTCTATAGGACCATTTGTACTTGAAGACATGCCAGAACAAGTCATCTGTGGTGAATGTTTTGTTGCATTGATTAATGCCAGTTGTAACCATTTAGTGCCTGTAGGGGGGCTGGTTCTTGTCAGTGATGTAGTTGTGTTTTGGGGTGGTCTGCCAGGGGTCAACCCTTTGCTCACCAGTGGAAGCAAATATCTGTATGGCATCATGGAATCCACTACAAGCACCTGTTTGCATGCAAAGAACAGACTCTGCAGCTTTTGCCACAGCTGATTTTAATCGGTTAAGACCATGATTGCCCCAAGAATCTTTTTCATAGCCCAGTGGGCAAGAACAAGAACCTCCGGTGGAGATTAACATTAGTGGGCAGTTAACATTAGGGGCTATAGGCTGTACAGGCGTGATAGAGAAGGTAGGAAAGGAGGGGGGGTGGCAATCTATGTCAAGGAGCACTACACATCTTCTGCCAGCAGAATGGGGTCAGAGGAAGGGCAAGCTGAAGTGCTCTGGGTCAAGATTCAGGGGGGGCAGGGGGAGAGGGATTTGACAGTGGGGGTCTACTACAGACCCCCCAACCAAGAGGAGGAGCTGGACAGGGAATTTTCAGGTCAGCTTGCAGAGGCACTAAAATCAAGGGATGTAGTGGTCATGGGCGATTTTAATTACCCAGACATCTGCTGGGAGGAGCAGTCAGC